TTATATTAATTATATTTTAATATCGTTTCCTATTATAACCACCGAATTGAAAATATATTTTAAAAGTTGATAACTTTTGTATTTCTTATCGCTTTTATATATATAATATATCAAATTAATCATTTTTTGATGAACTTCGATTTGACATCCATATTGTATATAGAATAAATAAATTATATTTATCTTTATAATAATAATAAATTATTTATTAAAATTAATTAGAAAATAAAAATATTATCAATTAATATATCTATGTTTAATGTAATTATATGTTATAAGGTAGAAAATTTATTATAATATAACACATATAAGTCGCACAAGTAACATGTGTAATATAAAAATATATAATAATATATACTCCCCCTTATTTTTATTATTTGTCACTTAGGCTTAATTGATCATTGATAAAATAAATGTCGTTTTAGATATTTTGTTCATATTTTTTTATTTTTAACCCTCCATCTAATGCACAGTGTCTCTTCATATCTCATCTCCATCGTTTCCCATAACATCCATTAAATAGAGTTAATATTGTCAAGAAAAAAAATCTTAATTAGTGTGTTGCATTTGAATTGATATTATGAAGTCCGTTTATATTTTACTATTTATTTATATATATATATAATACAAAACAGTAATATATATCCTTATAAATAAAATTTACATTTATTTATCAAACTAAATTAAATTATATCAAATAAAACTATAAATTATATTATAAAGTAATAGAAATTGGTATGTATTCTTTTAAAAATGATATTTATTTCAAATCTAATTGGTATGTTGTCAATGTACTAAAAATAAATAATTATTTATATAAATTCTAAAATTACATATAAAGTGAAAAAACTGTGAAGTACTACTGATACTACACTTGATGTATTAGGCATCTAATTAAGTAAAAAAATTAATCTATTTTGTTTAATATTAAATAAACATATTCTACACTTATGCATATACATATCACCATATTATTTCTATTTATTTTAGATATATATTTTTGTACTTATTTAATAGTAAATAATATCGATATTTTTATATGATATAAGTAAAAAAATTCAACACGGGTTGACATCTTCATTTAAAGTACGGGTGTTTAATTATTATGATTAAAAAAATATAATTTGACAATTTAATTAAAACCCAAAGTAATATTTTATATAAAATTAAATTATTTAAGTTTTTTAAAAAAAGAAAATTAATATTTTTTATAAAAGCTTTCTGATTCAACACCCGTGTAATACACAGGTATTGTACTAGTTATTATTGTTATTAAAGTACAATGATAAAGTAATATAAACAAGATCATATATATATATATATGCATGTAGTGCTCTACTCAAACCTAAGAAACCGTGTTTGAGCATTTTGAGCTCGTGTTCGATTATATTCGAACACCTTTCGTGTTTTCGTACGTTTATTTTTTAAGTAAAAATTCGTGTTCAAACTCGTCTGTTTAATGGTTCGTAAAAGTTGAGTTCGCTCGTATTCAAATAATATAATTTTTTTAAAATTATTTGATTAACTTGAGATCTGTTCGTCCGAATCCATTCATACTTGAAAATAAAAAGAACAATAAAATTATATTAAATTAATGTTCGCGAAAGTTATTAAATATTCGTGAATGAGTTCGTTAATAAAGAAACCAGCTCTTGCTAACACGAACGAACTTTTATTTGCTAAGGTTAAGTTCAATAATAATCCTATGCGCACGGCATGAGATTAAAAGAAAATGATAACAAAATTACAACAAAATTATAAATATTATAAATATTGTTCAAAATAATTAAATTATAAATATTGTTCAAAATAACTTGGCATGAGATTTTATGCCAAGTCCGGAAAGGCCCCACCCAAGGATTAAATAATGCCTTCAAAACTTTCAAAAAGACCCAATTTGAGATTAATTTAAAGAGATAAGCGTGGACTATATTTGATTAATTCAAGTTCATGCAAATATGATAATTAATTGATTTATACACTGTATTAAAAGTAATGCGGAAAAGTTCAACTAACTGATATATAAAACAGGGTCCTGATTTGTCCACGGCCAACTTGAGCTTTCTAAATAATTGTTGGCCAAAAAAAGCCTGAGCATTGATTCATATATTTTAAATTATCTTTGGAAGACCTGACTTATTGCAGTTTTTCTAAAGTTNCAAAAATAAATTTTAAAACAAAAAATGTACAAAGAGTGAAAGAGAATTTATTCAACAGTTATAAGTATACATCTTTATTTAGTCTACATATGCAATTCATTCAAATTGAAATATCATACTCTAGAAAATAGCATAAACAAAAGTATAAAAATTTATAGCACAAATATATATTTCTATTAAAAAAATATAATAAGTCAACCTTATCAAATATCAATGTTAAATTAATTCACATAAGAATTTGTATTTAAAAATAACAAATATAAATGTTTCAAATCTATATATATATATAATTACTAGCTAATAGAATTTAATAAAACCTATTTAATTTTACCTATGTGGCAATTTAACAATTTTTCCTCCAAAAATCGTTACATTTTGATGTATTTAATCTTTCATTTAATCATTAAATAATTAATACTCATCACTTCAAAATTACAAAAATCATTTTAAACTTTTGATTAATGACAGTTGACCATATAATGTGTTAACCGTATAATGTGATTAAATGTTATTATTTTTATTACATTTAATTTTTTTTTTAAAAATAAAAAATATATTTGAAATTCCTAAATAAATAATAAATAATTCACAAATAAAAGACGTACCAAAATATACATTACATCTAATCAGATAAACGCAATTTTAAAAAAAAAAATATTTCAACTCTTTTAATTGTAAATTTAGTCTGCAAAAAAGTAAAAGAAAAATAATTAATCATTATATGTACAGACTCACAATAATTTATTTATATCTGTACATTTGAACAGGTCGAATACTAGTCGCCTTTATTAGAGACGTTATTTTGCTTCACATGACTAAAGTCTCAAATGGTGACAAAGCCCAAAACAGCTGAAGCCCAAATTTTAACAATTATAAGCCCAATAAAAATTAATTAAATGCACGTAAATTAAGATGAACATGTAAGGAGAAATATATATTATATGATAAATAAGCATCCTACACTATTAAAAACTTTATATACAACGTTTTTATAACTGTAAGTTTCTTTTTCTCTTTTAAAATTTATAGAGATTAATTTTAGCTTATATTTATTGTGATGGCATAATAAATCATTACAAGAAATTGTTTCATTTGATGTTAAAATAGTATTGTAGTCACTGGTAAAATCAAACTCATAATCTCATGTCAAAATCTTGTATTGCAATAAAAGAGAGATAAATATTTGTTAATCACCTACATTTTACATTCCAATGTGAATGTTTATTTCTAAACCAATCTAGCTAGAGCAAAATTTTGATTGAGCACATAAATATGGATATAAATCACCTCGGATAATATATTTCATCATTATTTCAATAACATATATTCACCTTTTCCATTTTCTGGTAAATTATATAATTTTTTTAGGAAACTTGTACATACAATTGCATCCTTAGTTTTTAAGAGTAAATTATCTAATTGGTGTACTTTATATATTATGTATTGTGTGTGGCTAATCCAATTTATTTTTACAATCAAGGGTAGTGTCATTTTCGCGTATATGAAAAGATTACATTTTTTGTGAAAAGAATGTGATAGTGATACCATATTCCAACACTCGATTTTAAATAAATAGCCTTTAAAATA